CCCCCAGGTGCTGCCCCCGCTGAGGGACGTGAAGACCCGGCCCGAGGTGGGGGAGCTGCTGCGGAACAGGCTGGTGCGCCTCATGACGCACCTGGACACCGACGTGAAGCGGGTGGCCGAGGAGTTCCTGTTTGTCCTGTGCTCGGAGAGTGGTGAGTGTGGGCGCCCAGCCCCGCCCCGGCCACCAGCCCACCCCCGGCCCTGCCCCGGCCACCAGCCAGTCCCCGGCCCCGCCCCGGCCACCAGCCCACCCCCGGCCCTGCCCCGGCCACCAGCCAGTCCCCGGCCCCGCCCCGGCCACCAGCCCACCCCCGGCCCTGCCCCGGCCACCAGCCAGTCCCCGGCCCCGCCCCGGCCACCAGCCCACCCCCGGCCCTGCCCCGGCCACCAGCCAGTCCCCGGCCCCGCCCCGGCCACCAGCCCACCCCCGGCCCTGCCCCGGCCACCAGCCAGTCCCCGGCCCCGCCCCGGCCACCAGCCCACCCCCGGCCCTGCCCCGGCCACCAGCCAGTCCCCGGCCCCGCCCCGGCCACCAGCCCACCCCCGGCCCTGCCCCGGCCACCAGCCAGTCCCCGGCCCCGCCCCGGCCACCAGCCCACCCCCGGCCCTGCCCCGGCCACCAGCCAGTCCCCGGCCCCGCCTCGGCCACCATCTTGCCCCTGGCCCTGCCCCAGCCACCAGCCCGCCCCCAGCCAGTGCGCACGCTGAGCCCGCCCTGCCTCTGCCCGCAGTGCCCCGCTTCATCAAGTACACGGGCTACGGGAACGCCGCCGGCCTCCTGGCTGCCCGGGGCCTCATGGCAGGGGGCCGGCCTGAGGGCCAGTACTCAGAGGACGAGGACACGGACACGGAGGAGTACAAAGAGGCCAAGGCCAGGTGTGTCTGCGCACCCTCGGGCTCCCCCACCCTCTGGGCCCTGGGCTAGGGGTGGACTCTGAGCCCGGGCCTGTCCCTGGGCTACACGGGTCCTGACGTCCATAGTTTGGCTGAGAATAAAGGAAAGGGGCCGGCCCGGGGGACCAGCCCGAGGGAGGAGCTGCTTGACCGCCTCCAGGAGGGAGGGCTCCCCGGCAGTGCCCCCGCCCACAGCCCTCCTGGCCGGGGACTCAGTGCATCCCCCACACTCCTTCCCCGGGAAGCAGCATCAACCCGGTGACCGGGAGGGTGGAGGAGAAGCCGCCCAACCCCATGGAGGGCATGACGGAGGAGCAGAAGGAGCACGAGGCCATGAAGCTGGTGAACATGTTCGACCGGCTCTCCAGGTACGCGGTCTGGCCGGAGGGCCATGGCCTGTCCCGAGACCCGGAGGCGGGGCCAGAGGAGGCCTAGGGTCCTGGCGGGTCTGTTCCTCATGTTTGGAATCACCTGTTCTGGATCAGTGATTAGAGTTGAGGTCAGCATTATGTCTTTTTTTTAAAAAAAATATGTTTATTGACTTTAGAGAGGAAGGCAGAGGGAGAGGGAGAGAGAAACATCAACGATGAGAGAGAATCATTTACCGGCTGCCTCCTGGTCGCCCCTTACTGGGGATGGAGCCCGCAACCTGGGCACATGCCCTTGACCGGAATCGAATCTGAGACCCTTCAGTCCGCAGGCTAGTGCTCTATCCAGTGAGCCAACTGGCCAGGGCAGCATTATGTCCTTTTTACAGATGATGGGAACTGAGGCCCAGAAAAACTAAGAGCCTGCCTCAGGTGTCCAGGCCACTGGGCAGCAGTTAGGGTTTGGCTGACAGTGTGAGCAGGGCAGCCTGGGGGGTGAAGGCAGCCACCGGAGCAGGACGCCGCCCACCACCCCTCTCCCTGCAGGCACCGCGTCATCCAGCCCATGGGGGTGAGTCCCCGGGGCCAGCTCACCTCCCTGCAGGACGCCGTGTGCGAGAGCATGGAGGGCCAGCTCTCCTCCGACGCAGACTCGGACCCTGACTGAGGGCGGCCGCCCTGCCCCGGCGGAACCGGTGCTGCTTCCAGCCGTGTCCTCGGCCCCTTGCTCTTCACTCCCTAAGTTTTGTTCCCGCTCTCACCCCTGGGACTGAGGCCTTGTCCTGCTGTCACTGTGGAAACCGACTTCCTCAGGTGGCAGGTCTCGTGAGCCAGGAGGGTGCGGCGGCTGCTCCCGAGGGCGGGCCTGCGTTGGGAAAGGAAGCCCAGAGCCAGGCGGTCGGGGGAAAGAACCTGCTAGAACATGTACTAATGTCAGAAACACTCGCGAGGGCTGTGTGCTGTTTCCGTGCCCAGGGAGCACCTCCTGGGTCCTGGCTCAGCTGCCTCTGGCTGTCCACGGCGCCCGAGCTCCCCCAATTTCACAGTTGACTCTCCGTCGACGCCTCTGGTGTGGCTCATAAACGCATGAGGAATCACTGCTCGTGGGCCGTTACTCTGTACCCTACTGTGTCCCACAAAGCGTCACCGAAACATCCCGGAGTTTCGGGCAAGAGCGTGTGTGTGTGTGTGTGTGTGTGTGTGTGTGTGTGAATATGTGTCAATACCCAGTAAAGGCGTGTTAAGGAGAAAGAAACGGCTTGTTCTTTGCACAATTGAACACTTCTCCCAGGTTGACATTCAAGTCTTTTAATATATTTGTATTGATTTCAGAGCGGAAGGGAGAGGGAGAGAAACATCAATGATGAGAGAGAATCATTGATCGGCTGCCTCCTGTATGCTCCCTACTGGGGATGGAGCCCACAACCAGAGCATGTTTCCTTGACCGGAATCGAACCCGGGACTCTTTAGTCCGCAGGCCAATGCTCTATCCACTGAGCCAAACTGGCTGGGGTGACAGTCATCTTTTCTTGTTGAGTGAGGCCACCAGACGCCCTCCTGAGGAGTTGAATCCTTAAACCTGCTCCATGATGCCAGGAAGGAGGGAGCAGGTGGGGCAGCAACTGGGAAGGGGAGGGGGTGCCGTCTGCATCTGAGGTTAATCCTAGTGGCGTGCCTGCAAGGGGAGTCGCAGGGTCTGGGACAAATGGTTTCTGGGGGAGGCTGTCAAAGGCAGGCATCGGGTGAACAGGACGTGAGGGGTGACGCGGGACCCATGTTCTGTCCTTGGGCCCCCCATGTCCCCTTTCCACACTCACTGCCAGCACTTGCCTTCCCTTTGAGGGGACAGAAATGAAAGGATGCCCAGTGTCTACAGTAAAGTTTATTTCTCGCTGGAAGTGAAGGACAGTAACCCTCCTGAGGAGCCCGACGTGCCAGCAGAGCCCAGGACACGACCTGGGAGCCAGGCCCCACTTGGGAAGGGGGCTGGGCCCGCTCGGCCTGAGCCAGGCCTCTGACAGACGCTGAGCCTGCCCTGCGGGTGGAGGCCTGAACACGGGCCTGAACCCTGTGTCGGCGGGGTCTCCTCTGCAAGTGAAGAGGGACCTGCAGGGTGGGCAGGACTCCGTACACCGAGGGGCAGTGCAGCAGGAACAGGGCGGGAACGGTGCCAGGGGACCATGCTCTGCCCCTCCGGTCCATATTCTGGGTCAAACTTCACACACCTGCCCAAGCTGTCCTTCAGGCAGGAGGTCTGCTCGGAAATGCGAGGCGACTCCATGCACCCGGTTCTGCTAGGGGGCAGCGCCCTATCTGTCCCGGCCGCTGAGCTGGAACAGAGGAGAGGGCCGTCGGTGACCTGCAAACCCCTGGACAGCAGAGGTCAGCGGCACAGACCCTAAAGCGAAGCGTTCTGTCCACAAATGCTGCTGCTGCGCCACATTAGCTGATGCCAGCAGGGCGGGAGCAGCCAGTCGTGGCCCGGCACTTCCTCCTGGGCAGCAACTCAACCCCTGAAATCACAACCCAACTTACACCCCTGGTGAGACTAGGCGGCACCGCAGGGCCGGTCTTACAGGACTAGCTCCCCAGCCCACAGGGCTCCCTGCAGCCTGCGGTGGTGGGAGGTCGGCCCGAGCGGGAGCCCCAGAAGCTGCCGGCGACCACGCCAGGCCGTGCCTCTGCTCCTCTGCCCGTGGGCATTGGAACCTGGATGGTCTTCACTCGCCTCCTGGTGACACATGGCACCAGCCTACGTCTCAGCCCTGAGAACCAGACCCAACGAAAGGCCTGGAATGACGACGGAGACCTCAGGGCAGTCTCACCCTTGGCCTCAGCTCTCTCTGGTTCAACTTGGCAGGAAATGAGGCTGCGGCCAGAGGGGGCTTCTGCCAGTGGGGTGACAGCGCAGCCAGAGGGTGGGGTTCCCAGGACGTCTGCCTGGGGCCTCAGGAACCAGACCAGCACACCCTGGTGACTCCCGCGGGTGGGTGGTCCTCCCGGCCTGCAGTGTGCCCTCCAGAGCTGGTCAAGGTGCCCAGGCCCCTCCTGGGGAAGTCACCCAGCACGGCCACATGGGGTCTCCTGGGAAACCCCATCTTCTGTAACCGCTTGTCTGGGTTGGACACCTGGAGCTTCATGGCTCTAAGGCCTCTTTCTACCCTCAGCGCGGCCACGGTCAGCATCGCCCGCGGGCTCCATCCCACACGCGTCAGTTCAGCCTCGCGCCTTGGCCTGGAGCTGCCGACGCTGCTTTATGTCAGGGAACAAAGGCCCCTGGGTCCCTGCCTCCCTGGCCAGCGGGCTCCGCCGCTGCTTCTCGGGCCCCTCAGCCGAGGTCACAGGACCCACACTCCGTGCGAGCAGCCGCCCAGGTGGGGCTGGTCCAGGGTGACAGCCAGGGTCAATGTCACTCTCTGAGCCTGTACCTGCCCCGTCTCCCGCTGGACGAGGTCCTTCAGCTCCTCCGTCCAGCCCAGCAGCTCCACCAGCTTGTCCACGCCGTCCACCAGCTCCCCCAGCTGCAGCACGTCCCTGCTGCGAGGGCGCCAGGCCAGGGACCCCGCCGCCTCCTGGTTCATGAACACGCGGGGCACCGAGCTGCGCGGGGCCTCCGACAGGCTGGCAAAAGGCTCCACCTGAAAAACGGCCCAACGTGAGGAGCCGTGTCCAGCCTCGGCCTCAGGAGACTGCGTGCGACCCGGGAGAGGAACCCCCCGCCTGGTGCCCTCCTCCTGCTGCTCCCTCACCCACGTCCCAGTCAGTCCTGTCTCCCACTGCAGCCTCTGCGGGTCTCCCTGGCAGGCTCCCCACTTGTCCTCCCCGCCGCCAGGCCACACCCTCCCCAGCACAGCCTGGCGCACGGCAGTCAGGTCTGTCCACACTCCGCTCCGAGGGCAAGGACCTGGTCCCGCACTGAGTGAGTGAGTGTGAGATGTGGCCTTTCCCATGACCAGTGGCGCTCATCCCAGCCCTGCACACTGGGGGCGGCCCCTCCGTGCCCTCCCTGTGCAGACCCTGACAGGCCTGACTCATTCAAGAGTCAGTGTGACAGCCCCAGCCCGTGTGGCTCAGTGGATAGAGCATCGGCCTGCGGACTGAAGGGTCTCGGGTTCGATTCCGATCAAGGGCATGTACCTCGGTTGCAGGCTTGATCCCTGGCCCGGTCAAGGGCGCATGCAGCAGGCAACCAATCAATGTGTGTCTCTCAAATCGATGTTTCTTTTTTTCTGTCTGTCCTCCCTCCCTCCCACTCTCTCAAAATCAATGGAAAACACATCCTCGGGTGAGGATTAACAACAACAACAACAAAAAATGTCATAGATCCATAATCCCTTCTCTCTCAGCTCTTGGGGCTGGATGTGCTCTCTCCCCCTACACTCTCTACTCCCCCCCACACTCTCCCTGCACCACCACCCCTGCACTCCCTACTCCCACCTATACTCTCCCTGCACCATACCCCCACACTCCCTACTCCCCCCACACTGTCCCTGCTCTCCCCACACACTCCCTGCTCCCCCCCACACTCCCTACTCCCCCCACACTCTCCCTGCTCCCCCCACACACTCCCCCCACACTCTCCCTACTCCCCGCTACACTCTCCCTGCCCCGCTGCCCCCCTGTACTCCCTGCTCCCCTGCCCTGGGACCAACCTGCAGGGAGGTGCCCAGGATGAGCAGCAGGTCTGCGATGGGGAAATCCACCACGTGCAGCAGGAACCTCTGGGGCAGCGCCTCCCCGAAGAACACGATGTCGGGCTTCACGACGCCGGTGCAGACTGTGCAGCGGGGGACCCTGTCCCCCATCACCTCGGCCTGGGGACACGGAAAGGGCCGAGGAGGAAGCACAACCATGACGGGCACAGGCAAACGAGATCTCCCTTCCCGCAGCTGAGCAGCGTGACCAGCCCACGTGCTAAGGAGCGGCTGCTACCCCTTCGTCTCAGCGCCCCAGCTGTGGGGAGGCTCTACTGTGACTCCAACTTCGGGGGGCGCGGTGGCGGGACGGGCTCACGGATGTGTGGACCCGGTTCCCTTTTGGGGTGAAGCATGTGTTTTCCACTAGAGAGGGGGTGGCTGCACACCAGGTGACTGTAGGGATGCCTTTACCACAGGTCATCTTGGGTTGTGTGACCTTCACCTCAACACAAACGAAAGACAGGGCCCCGCGCCATCGCTAAGATGCCCAGCTCCACCCGCTCCGCCGGAGGGAGCCAGCCCACCGAACCCGAGTGGGCCTGGGCCTCACGGCTCCGCCAACAGGAAGCACTGCAGGCCTCCAAGCGGTCTCTGAAGGAGCGGCTGGCAGCCCGAGTCGCCACAGCGGGCAGACCTCTCCCCACTGCCGCGCTGCCCCAGCTCTGCGCTCCCTGAGGGAGCAGTTGTCCTTTTAAGCACATGGTCCGCACTGCACACACCGGGGCTGCGTGTGGGAGGAGGTGGGTGTCTGTGATGCGCACAGATCTTTCTTAAAGGCGTCAACACGATACACCAACCTGGGACAGGTGGTTGGTGGGAGTCACCTTCCCTACGTACTTCCGTCCTGCCTTCGCTTTTTAAAAGCACGTATGGCAGTTCTAACTCGAACATAAAGACACTCCCAACTATGACCGTCCGTCTTTATGACACGTGTTCATAAAGCCAACACCACCTGCGGGTCAGCCCCGCGAAGCAGAGGACCCCGGGGCCACTCACCCAGAAGCCCTCCATCGGGGAGGCTCTGCCGCAGACGGTGCAGGTGGCCGAGGCGAAGGAGCCGTGAGCTTCGACCAGCCTGGAGTCAGGGATGCCCGCCGCTGGAAGGGAAACCACAGCTCAGCCCGCTGCCGGGGCGGGGGAGGGGGGGGCACGCTGAGGCCCCAGAGCACAGCGTGGGCCCCGGGCCCCGGAGTCCCTTGCTCAGAGGGGGGCTCCCAGACCAGCCAGCCTCGGTGAAGAGCCTGTCAACAGCACAAGCACATCTAATGCACCTTCAGATCAAACTATCCCACACGGAGGAAGACACTCCACTCCACAGACACCAAGTAAAGATGAGGAAGTAACAGAAATGCAACACATTTCCAAAACTTGTGGAGAAACAGACAAACAGTAGCTTGTTCCGGCGGTTGGCTTCTGAACGCTGTGGGCGGACAGACGGTCCCAGCTGCAGGTGGCCTCCCCTGGTCCCCGTCCCGGTGTTCGTCCTGACTCCACACCCAGGAAAGCCCAGGGCCAGGGAGAACATAGTCCCTCTGGGGCGCCCTGCTGGACGACCTGCTAGCAAGGAAGCATTTCTCCAAGTCGAGGTGACGCCTGGCTGCATGGTGGGCAGCTGGCCGTGTCTCCGTGGGCACAGGTCGGCGTCACTGCAGGAGGGAGAGGGCCCAGCACGTGCTCCTTGAAGGCGCACGGCAGCGCTCAGTGCTCATTGCCATCTGGGAATCACTGCTTATCCACTCCGTACACACGAGAAACCACCCGTCATACACCGAGTCTCATAATATAAGGAATTACTAGTCCTCCGAATGATGATAATATCGCAATTACATTTTAAAAGTCCTTATCTGGTGAGGGCATGTGCCAGGGGGTAGGGGAGGCCAGGGGAAGGTCAATGGGGGGGAAAAAGGAGACATATGTACTATCTGTGATACTTTAACCCAGCGGTTCTCAACCTGTGGGTCGCGACCCCTTTGGGGGTCGAACGACCCTTTCACAGGGGTCACCTAAGACCATCGGAAAACACATGTATAATTACATATTGTTTTTTTTATTAATCTCTATGCTTTAATTATGTTCAATTTGTAACAATGAAAATACATCCTGCATATCAGATATTTACATGACGATTCATAACAGTAACAAAATTACAGTTATGAAGTAGCAACGAAAATAATTTTATGGTTGGGGGTCACCACAACATGAGGAACTGTATTAAAGGGTCACGGCATTAGGAAGGTTGAGAACCACTGCTTTAAACAATAAAATAAAATTAAAAAGAAATAAAAATAAAAGTCCTTATCTGCTAGAGATACCCATGATGGATTTTTAGATTAAATTTATAACGTGAGGAACTTGCTTCGAAAGGATCTGGAGGTGAGAGAAGACGGGTGAGCGCGCACGAGGACGTGATGAGGGCTCATTACACTTTGTCCTCACAGGCTCGGTAAACTCCGTCACAGCGTTTAAGAAAGGAGACGAGCAACCCTGGAGACCCGGTGTCAGCTCCAGTTCTCTCCAGACACCACAGCAGGTGCTGGTGAGCGGGCCCTGTGAGGCCCGGACATGGCGCTGGGGTCAGAGCCGCGGGAGGGAGGGTGTGGACAGGCCCTGGGAGGCCTCACCTCGCTCCAGCCCATCGATGTTCTGTGTGTAGAGCCGCAGGAGCAGCCCCTTGTCCTGGAGCAGCCGCAGGAAGTAGTGGATCACGTTGGGCCTGTAGTTCTCCGGGTACATCTTCTTGGCCCACGTGAAGAAGGGCCTGGGGTTGTGGAGGAAGAAGGTGAGTTCAAAAATGGCCTCAGGGTACGGGACATCGCAGTGCTGGAAGCTGCTGTAGAAGCCGGTCCCTGGAGACCTGCAAGAGGAGCCAGAGCCTCAGAAGAAGGGGAGTGGGGCTTTGGG